CGGCCGAAATTACTTTTCGCGAAAGGCAATCCCCAACCTGTACTCAATTGTGCAAAAGGAAGTAATAGCATCTCTGGCACACAGTGTTGGGGCAAGGGTCCATTTGACCACTGATACCTGGTCTGCAAAGCATGGTCAGGGCAGGTATATCACCCACACTGCGCATTGGGTAAACCTGCTGACTGCTGCCAAGCATGGAATGCATGGCTCTGCAGAGGAGTTGGTGACACCGCCACGACTTGCAGGCAGTCCTGCTGCCACCTCCTCTACTCCTCCTACTCCATCCTCTTCCATAACCTCCTCGGCTTAGTCCTCTTCTTCTGCTGCGTCTTGCTCCACATCAACGGATAGGGGGCGTAACAGTGATTAAACTGATAACAATAGTACTAAACACACCACTCACTCACTGGTGTCACAATAGCTTGGATTTAAAAACAACAAACTTTTTTCACTGTTATAGATTGAATAGCAGTTAGTTATCTTCAAGCAGGTGTCAGCCCTACAGCTGCGGTACTCTGCCAGTACGCTGCCACCTCCTCTACTCCTCCTATCACTCCATCCTCTTCCATAACCTCCTCGGCTTAGTCCTCTTCTGTTGCCTTGCCCCACATCAACGGATAGGGGCGTGAATAGTGATTAAACTTCGATAACAATAGTACTAAACACACCACTCCTATCTGGTGGCACATTAGATTGCACGCCAAGAGTGCCCCAAATTTGTTGTGATCTACGAAAGTAAGGTGTAAACGGTTGTCCATACAAGTAGGTTGCAGCTTTTTGAGGGCCCACACCACCGCTTATGCACTCCTTTCAATGGCAGGAATATACTTCGGGCTGTGCAAAAGTTTACGTGCTTAGATAAGATCCGCTGGTTGCTAGCCACCACCGTCTCACTTCTGGTTTCCAGTACTGCTGCTCCCAATCCAAGCATAGAAGGCCTGTATGGACGAAAGTGTTTAGTTGGATCAGGAGAAGAAAGTACAGGTGATTTAATGAGCGCCGTCTTGAGCTGTTGGAAGGCCTATTCACACTCTGGGGCCCATACTACTATCTTGGGGAGGTTTTTACACGTTCCTATATGGCACTTACTGGGCTTTAGGGTCAGTCCGGACTCCCTAATCCGGTCTATTACGGCTCCTATGTGGGTCAGGTGCTCGGGCCAGGAGCTACTAAAAATGTCTATACCATCCAAGTAGGTGTGTATCAGTGTGTATTAGGGATCCTTAGGACGGGTGTCAATCCATATCTGCCAAGTGACCCGATGTTGGGGTAACATTCCCTATTCTGCTCTGTGTCAGTGTGTATCAGGGATCCTTAGGACAAGTGTCAATCTATATCTGCCAAGTGACCCGATGTTGGGGTAACATTCCCTATTCTGCTCTGTGTCAGTGTGTATCAGGGATCCTTGGGACAGGTGTCAATCCATATCTGCCAAGTGACCCGATGTTGGGGTAACATTCCCTATTCTACTCTGTGTCAGTGTGTATCAGGGGCTCTGAGGACAGGTGTCAATCCATATCTGCCAAGTGACCCTATGTTGGGGTAACATTCCCTATTCTGCTCTGTGTCAGTGTGTATCAGGGGCTCTGGGGACAGGTGTCAATCCATATCTGCCAAGTGACCCTATGTTGGGGTAACATTCCCTATTCTGATCTGTGTCAGTGTGTATCAGGGATCCTTAGGACACGTGTCAATCCATATCTGCCAAGTGACCCTATGTTGGGGTAACATTCCCTATTCTGATCTGTGTCAGTGTGTATCAGGGGCTCTGAGGACGGGTGTCAATCCATATCTGCCAAGTGACCCTATGTTGGGGTAACATTCCCTATTCTGATCTGTGTCAGTGTGTATCAGGGGCTCTGAGGACAGGTGTCAATCCATATCTGCCAAGTGACCCTATGTAGGAGGAACAGTCGCTATTCTGCTCTGTGTCAGTGTGTATCAGGGAACCTTGGGACAGGTGTCAATCCATATCTGCCAAGTGACCCGATGTAGGGGGAACAGTCCCTATTCTGCTCTGTGTCAGTGTGTATCAGGGATCCTTAGGACAGGTGTCAATCCATATTTGCCAAGTGACCCTATGTAGGGGGACCAGTCTCTATTCTGCTCTGTGTCCGTGTGCATCAAGGGCTCTGAGGACAGGTGTCAATCCATATGTCAAGGTGTCAATATGTCATATGTCAGGTGTCAATCCATATTGATTGTGATTTAGGAATGTTAGGTGATTTCTGCCCTTTATGGATTAAAACCAGACTCTGTATCAACTGTGTAATTTTCCATGGGAGTTTTGCCATGGATCCCCCTCCGACATGCCACAGTCCAGGTGTTAGTCCCCTTGAAACAACTTTTCCATCCCTATTGTGGCCAGAAAGAGTCCCTGTGTGTTTTAAAATTCGCCTCCCCATTGAAGTCAATGGCGTTTCGGGCGGTTCGCGAACATTTGCGGAAGTTCGCGTTCGCCGACCGAAAATTTCGGGTTCGCGACATCACTATTCCAGATGATGAAGGAAATGAAACCACCAAATGCGTTTTACACTTTTCTGCCCTCATTGAAGCATTTGCCAGCTATGGCAGACATTCTAATAAGTTTGTCTTGATTGGTTACGGCAGAGCTGAAAGAAGCTCAAGTCGTAAGACAAAGAATGCATGAAAACCACAAATGTATATATTCAGATGCTAGGGAGAGTGGTCGCATTTCAAATATATAAATACAGCATCTACCCTTTAATAAATTATTTAACAAAGGCATCTAAAACAACTTTAATTTCATATGGTTCTAACTATATCTCATACTCTTTTGCTGATATCAAGACTATGGCCTCTCACCAGGATGACCTTTCTTAGAACAGATCAGTTGCTCTTTTTTAATGTGCATCTGACATTTCAACACTAAATGCAATCTCTAACATTGTAAGATTTCGATATACCTCACATATGTTCCTATTGGCAAAATAAATCTTAAACAAGGAGACGGAATTTGTAGGTAGCCAAAAAAAAATTCACAGCATTTAAAGTGACATTCTAAGCACCACAATCAACATTGGCGTTAGTGTGCCTTATTTGACAATTAAGATAGAGACCCTTTGCAGATAAAAATATTGCTCAAAACAAATGCCCTTTTACTCCACACAGATGACAGTCTGGGTGGGATTTAACTGGACTCCCTGCACTGACCAAGACTCCACAGGTAAGTCAGATTACTAATTTATCTGGCTGTGAATTAAAAGGCATTTGATTTGGACACGCAGTCCGAAACAAGTTTTTGATCAAGTCTAACAGATAATTGCCAAATAGGGATAACTCATCCACAATGGTGTTGGAGCTCTGACATTTACAAGTCTGTTTGTTTCTCACTTGCCAATTCCATTGAGGCGCTTTCCACCAGGACATGACCAGTTAATGTGGCAGCAGATGTGTTATTCCTGCTTTGATGAATTAGCATAAGTTCAGAAAATATTGAAACCATTTCATACTATCCAAGATCAGACCTTTACCCTCGTTTGAGGAGGAATTTTGCTATTTGGACCACTTTGCAGATCATTACATCAATGTTGGAGGTCAAATTTGAATTAAAGGGACACTAGTCACTAATGTTAAATGGAGTGAACCTGGTGTCTGCAGCTTGTCCTTGCAGGCTTTTCCCCTGTAAACACTGCATTTTTAGAGAGTCACTTAAACTGCCACTAGAGGTGCTGCACGCAGTTCAGCATCTCCACACCTCTGCATGGTCTGAACTAGCACCAGCAGACCATTGTGGCACTATGAGATGTTTAAAAACCAAAAAACTGTAAGTGAGAATGGGGTGGGGCCACAGAAACATGTGCTCACAATATATAGGGTCAGGCGTACAAATTTGTATTCCTGACCCTGTAATGTTACATTAATCTTAAAGGGACACTAGTCACCAGAACTACAGCATGTCCCTGCAGTGTTCGTTAAAGGAGTGTCTTTACATTACTGCCTAGTAACACCTTTAGTGGCAGTCACTTTAAAAAAAAAAAAAAAAAAGAAAAAAGAAAAACCTTCCTGTGGCATTCATCTCCACACTCTGCATGGGAGGTGCCTTAGAGCAGCTTTGATTCTATGCAGATTTGTGCAGTACAATAACCTACAATACTTTCCTAGTGGAAAGCATTGGATTGGCTCAGATCATCAAGTTTTATGACTTCAGCCCTTGAGGCATTGCCAGCCACAGCACTAATTAGCAATGTGTGGGAGAAAAGGCAAGTCTAAACATCTTTTCACAGCATTGACAGAGGGGCAAGGACCCCAATGGGTTAACACTAGTGTCAGGAATACATGCTTGTGTTCCTTTAATATTACTTTATGATCAGTAACCACAAAATAAAAACCCACAAACAAACCAGTCCTCAGCTTTTAGGCAAATAGTTTATTGCTTGCAGTAGTTTCCATAGGTTAATTTACTTTAAGTTTTTATTTTTAAATAGCTTTATTTACAGTGTATACAAAGTGTTGCCATTTTACAACAGATACAGAAATCCTTAATCCGGTCTACAATGCCAGGTCCAAAGCCAGAGTCTATGCCAAGTCATGATTCTACAAAGAGATGCACCACTTCAAACAATATATTTGAAGCTATAGGTGTTGTCACACGAGAGTCTCTTGTTTTTGCATCGACCACACAGTTCTTGTCGATGAGGTCTTTTGAGATCTATATGCCTTTTCTTTTGTGGACAAGCGCAACGTGTTTTTGAACATACCTATATATTAAAAAAAAGTTAACAGGGTTACTTTTAATAGCATTAGACAATTGTCAAGTCAAAACTTTTAAAATAGTTATTTCATCAAATTAGCTCTTCCCTGCACAGAAGCACCCTGTCTGAGCCGAGGTGCATGTGGCTGAAGGGTCCATTCATACTAGAGGTAGGGTTGAATTTTTCCAGCACACTTTTATAGATTGAACATACTGTTTCATAAGTGTTGAATATTTGGGGACCAAATAGTTTTTTTAAATAAACTACTATAGAGCAGAATTTGTCAACCTTTGGCACTCCAGATTGAGACTCAAAGCATCAGGGGAAGATTTAGTAAACATCTGGAGTCCTGAAGGACAGATATACAATATATAATATAGATACAAAAACACCTGTGTGCAGGTAGACGACACACTTAGTGGGTAATAAATACAAACATACAAAAATTACCCTTAGTCAGTAGTGAAGTAGATGAAAGGACTCCTCTTATGTCCTTAAAACAATATTGATATACTACCAGAAGGCAATCTACAACACAAAAATAGAAACGGACATAGAATAGTAACGTAGTGTATTGGGAATTTATAGGAATAGGTAATTACACTCACAGACCCAATTTGATTGCAGGCATATCAAAAATAACGATGTGTATATACTTCTCGATTGGTGGAACGTCAATCCCATACATAGGAGGAAGAATAAAAAGTGCAGAGTATCTTCAGTAAAATTAACAAGATTTATTACAAGATACACTTACAAGATGTATCAAAAAGGCACATCAAACTCAGCTGAAGCTGCAACCCAGTCTCAGGATCAGAAGAGCAGAAAAACCAAATAAAAATACACTTAAAAACTATAAAAAATACTCAGCATGTAAGAAACAAGCCCTACGCGTTTCGTTCATAAAATGAACTTCATCAGGGGCATCCAATCCTCTGTAAACCTCAGTTTTTTTTAATCTCATTGGTTTGGTTATAGTGCATACTGTCCTTCAGGACTGATATACTGTTTCTTATATGCTGAGTATTTTTTATAGTTTTTAAGTGTATTTTTATTTGGTTTTTCTGCTCTTCTGATCCTGAGACTGGGTTGCAGCTTCAGCTGAGTTTGATGTGCCTTTTTGATACATCTTTCTTGTAAGTGTATCTTGTAATAAATCTTGTTAATTTTACTGAAGATACTCTGCACTATTTTTTTATTCTTCCTCCTATGTATGGGATTGACGTTCCAATCGAGAAGTATATACACATCGTTATTTTTGATATGCCTGCAATCAAATTGGGTCTGTGAGTGTAATTACCTATTCCTATAAATTCCCAATACACTACGTTACTATTCTATGTCCGTTTCTATTATTTTTGTGTTGTAGATTGCCTTCTGGTAGTATATCAGTCCTGAAGGACAGTATGCACTATAACCAAACCAATGAGATTAAAAAAATACAGAAGGCACTAAACTAATAGGGACCAGGCTACTTTAAAAAATAAAGTTGGCAATTACAGTGAAGCATGGAGTATTAAGTCTAAAATAAGAATTGCCAGTGTGTGCAAGGGTTCACCAAGACTATGCATGTATATTAATTAAGCTATGGCAATGCAGCCAAATGCCATTAGTGAAGCTAGTTAAAGGGCCAGCTTGATGACTTGCTTTAAGTGTGAAGAGTGCTCTCCATTTACAAAATGTGGTGATTTTAATAGAACTTGGCACTTTCATAAATTAACAGTTACATTCCCTGGTTTGGTTATATACTATAAAACCAGTAATATAGGTCTCCCTAATACAGGTTTGTTTTGTAGTTCAGATCTGTCAATGGCTGAGAGTGCATACCTTTTTGATAAGGAAGCCCTTTTCTGGAATGAGGGGGTGTGGCTAAAGAGGCAGGCTTATGGTGCTTGAAGTGTCCAACGTTCAGTTTTAGGATCTTTCACATGATAGCTTTATAAATCACTCAGTTAACACATAAGGTGGTCTGGGACAAGGTACCCAGCACAACTAACCTGGCATTGAATTTCTTCAACTCTGTAGGGATTGAATCCTTTTTGGCATTTGCGGCAAAGTTGTTTAAAATAAACCTGGAAGAGAAGCGCAAGTTTAGACAAATGCAAAGATAAAGACTAGATTTAAAAATAAATGTTTATGTTTCTCACCAAAACCATGGACAAAAAAAATAAATAAATGTATGCACGAAAGGCAAGATACGGGTCAATTCTTGAATGCTGGAGACCTTACACTACAGCATGTTCATTTCCAGCTTACAGATTAATGGAATAAGCTTTGCAGGTCAAATTGAGTAGTTTGTGACCTTAAATGCCATGGACTTTGAAGTCTAGCACCAGCCTACAAGAGTGTAATATGTACATGTAATAGGAACAAAGAATTAATGTATTTCAATACTTTCAACGGTCTATGGCAGGCATAGGCAACCTTCAGTACTGCAGATGTGGACTACATCCCCATAATGCTGGCAAAACATCAAGGGAGGTGTAGTCCAAAACATCTGAAGTTCCAAAGGTTGCCTACCCCTGGTCTATGGTATAACTGCCCTTGTCATTAATACTTACACCAGGCTAAATTTACAAAGATTAAATAAAATACCACAAATTTAACTTCGTTCAAACAATTCTACTCACTTTGTTACTTCCGGAGACACACCACACATAAGCGCTCTCCCATCGAGTCTTGCATTCCTTGCAATGAAAGTAGCCATATTTTTGTTCAAGGAACTAAGGAGAGAAGGGGATGGATTACAAGTCTTCATTTTAGAGCACTGAAGAGCTATTAGTGGTAATTTAGAGAACAAAAATAAAATTGATCTGGAAATTGAACAAAACTAAAGCACTTGAACAAAACCCACCATAGTGATTATGTATCGGAAGTGCCCCAATAAAATTCCAGCATAATGCTGTCAAACCCTTGGCAGTTTGACATTAAACTGGGTCCCACTGGGCACTTTAGTGGCATCAAGTTATCATAGTTTAAGATGCCAGTTTTTGTAAATCTGTTATTTTATTTTGGTGAAAAAAAAGATATACCAAATCATAGGGACTCAGGTCCCATTTGCATTGAAAGCATAAATACAAGACATGTTAAACATAGGGACAGATATACAACAAAGTATGTGAGATTTTGGTTCTGAAGTCTCAGCATCAGTATAACAAATTTTAAACATCCATATCCGATATAATCGGAACAGTTAAAATAGTTATTAGATCACTCATAGTAAGAGACAGGTTTGTGAAATAGTTACTCATAAGCTTTCCTGAAGAGATGGATTTTGAGGGACTTAAATGATTAAAGACTAGGGGAGAGTAATGGAAAAAGGCAGGCTGGTCCAGAGGAAAGGAGCTACTCGAGAAGTCCTACAAGCGTGGGCAGCTGACAAGGAAAAGTCATCAACAGAACGGAGAGACCAAGAAGGGGCATACCTACGAATAGGTAAAGTGTAACGGGACTAGAGATGTTTAGAGCTTTATAGGCAAGGATTGGTATTTTGAGTTGACTCCTAAAGGATACAGGAAGGCAATGAAAGGATTAGCAGAGGACCAAGGTGTGTGGAGCAACGAGAGAGATCACCCTTGCGACAGCATTCATTACAGACTTGTATCGAGGCAGTACAGTTTCTAGGGAGGCCAATTAGGAGTGATTAAACCATTTGCCATGGGATGAACCCCTACCTGGATTGTTTATTTAAAGTGCTAGCTCTTGACCAAGCTCTTCATGTATCTGGCCATTTAGGCAATTCTAGGCACACTGCCCTAGTCATATCAAACCTTAAGCACTCCACCAGTTGTGGAGTACACATCCCATGATGCTCAACCCCAAGACATGACACTGAACCAACCCAGTGTCCTACAACCTTGGTATCCAATTTTTGGACATTACCCTACCGCCCCCTCGCCTTATTCCCCCATTGCCTTATTTCCTCCTCCCCACCCCCCCCCAATCACCCTGCCTCCCCCTTACCTAATTCCTCCCTCCCCTGCATTCCCCAATCCCCCTGCCTATTTCCCCATCCATCCCCCTGCCTCTCCCATTACCTGGAAGGTGGACTGTTTCTGCTCCTCCTGGTTCTCTTTGTCCAGGATTTCCACCTTGCCGGTCTCCTGGCTCCCACCTGGTGTCTGCTCCTGGGGCCGGGCTGGCTCAGGCTCTTTGTCCGGGGCCTTGCCTGGGTGTGGAGCCGGGGGCTGGCCTGGCGCGGCGCTCCCTGGAGGTGGAGGCTCCTTCCTGGCTGGTCGGCCTCCAGGAGGAGCCGGGAACACCCTGCGGTCTAACACCGGGGAGTAGACCGCCACAGGGCGGGTAAAGTGCAGGGGAGCCGGGGGGGCCCTGGCCGGGCTGAGAGGGGGGGCAGGCCGGCGGAGGGTGCGGGGCCCCAGGGAGCACTGCACCCCAGTCTCTACCCGCGGGTTCACCTGCACCCCCACCTCCTTGGTGTTGGCCTTGCGGAGCCGCGGGGTGAGGTTGGGGTTCACCTGGGACAGGATGGCCTTTAGCTGGGCCCGCTGGAAGTTATCCAGGTAGTCGGCCGGGTCCAGGGACTTTACTGATTTCCAGCCCGCCTGCTTAAACTTGGCTGGGGGCTGTGCCTGACCGAATCCTGCCCCATAGCCCTGGTAGGCATTATATGGGGTGTACACATAGCCTGCCATGCTGGGTGCTGTCTATGGATAGCTCTCCCAGCACCATAACTTTATACACTCACTGCCCCATTAACCCCATCATCACCTGGTACTAATTATTCTCTAATTATCCCTAATTACTGCTTGTAATAAACTACTGACACATGGGGACAGGGGTCTGCCATATTAACCAGCCTGTAAAACCTACACCAGTTTCTGTATTTCTCCATTTGTAAAACAGCCAAAAGGCTACCTGTCCTTTCAATGGGTCAGTATCTAAAATATTTCCTGGTGATTTTTCTTTTTCTATAAAACTACTATCCCTGTAGGATTTCCTGACCTAAAATGTTTTATTTATACTGATGGGCAGTACATGAAAACTGCTACTCTGTAATTTGTGATTTGGTTTATATGAAAAACTCAGACGTGACATTGATGCCTAATGTTTGTTCATTTTGTTAAATTAGAAATTGTAGAGAAGCGATAAGGAGATTAGAACATTTTAAAAGAACACTCCAAACACCCATAGGAGTTATTAGTCAAGTTATTTGTTAATGATTTGGCTTTTTACCAGAGGTACTTGGAGTATTCCTTTAAAGTTTTTTTTTTTTGTTGTTTTTTTTTTTTACTAAACCCAAATTATTGTGAATTGCAATTGCAATGTGTTCAAGACAAACATAGTTTGGAGACATTGTGCAACTTATCTACAATCACAGCTTGGCTATTTTAACTTTAATTCTGCGAACTGGATTTGAATTCAACACTAAGCTTCTAAGTTTAATGAATGAAATGCTAAGACTAAAGTAGCCAAGTAAGAAAAAGAGAATTCTCAGTTTCTGTTTGCTTTTTTCAAGATTGGTTATTTAGACCCAAAACATGCAATATCAATGTCTGTTCTCCAGCACCGTGTTTAGTAAACAAATCAATTGTAGTTATTCACTAGAGTTCCAATTTGCCCCAGATTATCACTAAACATGCATTGCAACCAAATTTGTAAACCGTGTATTCACTAAAATTCAGTTGAACTATGGTTATTTAACCCCTTAAAGGACCACTATAGGCACCCAGTCCACTTGAGCTTAATGAAGTGGTCTGGGGGCTAGGTCCATCTAGGATTAACCCTTTCTGCTGTAAACCTAGCAGTTGCAGAGAAACTGCTATGTTTACCTATGGGTTAAGCCAATCTCTAATGGCTGTCTCATTGACAGCCGCTAGAGGCGCTTCTCACTGATTTTCACAGTGAGAAGACGCCAGCGTCCATAGGAAAGTATTGACAATGCTTTCCTATGAGACTGGCTGAATGCGCGCGGCTCTTGCCGCGCATGCAAATTCAGCTGATGATGGGCACAGGAGGAGGAGAGTTGCCGGCGCTGGAAAAAAGGTAAGATTTAACCCCTTTCCTCTCCCCAGAGCCCGGCGGGAGGGGGTCCCTGAGGGTGGGGGCACCCTCAGGGCACTATAGTGCCAGGAAAACTAGTATGTTTTCCTGGCACTATAGTGGTCCTTTAAGGACACATGACATGTGTGACATGTCATGATTCCCTTTAATTCCCCATAAGTTTGGTCCTTAAGGGGTTAAACCTAGTGAGCATTCAGCACCATGTGATGTGTGCACTCCAGCTGTTGTGGAATGCACAACTCCTCATCCCCATCCAATCCAATTTGGCTGCCCAAGCATCTTTGGAATCAGCTGGAATAGTAAAAGTCAGCCATGTCTGCCCAAGTCTTCCCCATCAATGTGGGACTTATTGTCTCCTTTAGAGATTCAGACCTTTATCTCATCTGCAACTCAAACTGAACCATCCTGAATGAATGGGTGGATTAAGGGCGGAAGTGACGTCTTCTAGCATGTTTAGCCAGAGTCACGGGGGCACTTCCGCCCTTTCTCTGTACTCTGTGAGTGGGAATGCGGTGCGTCATGACGTCACCCGACGTTCTCAGGTCGTGTTTGAGCTGGTGGCGGGACATGGGGTTTTACAGAACGAAGTAACAGGAAGTTCGATCAGTGATGGGTAAAGTTTGCTACCACAACCACTGCAGCAACAACACTGATAGCAGCACAGCTCACATTGATAGCTTTCAGTTTGACCTGGAGTGCAGCAATTACAGAGCTAACTGATGGTATAGCAGGGGTTAACTCCAGCTGGTCTCTGTTTACATTGACACCTTACATTGTATCACAGATGGTATAGCAGGGGTTAACTCCAGCCGGTCTCTGTTTACATTGACACCTTACATTGTATCACAGCATTGACACCTTACATTGTATCACAGGTGGTATAGCAGGGGTTAACTCCAGCCGGTCTCTGTTTACAGTGACACATTGACACCTTACATTGTATCACAGATGGTATAGCAGGGGTTAACTCCAGCCGGTCTCTGTTTACAGTGACACATTGACACCTTACATTGTATCACAGATGGTATAGCAGGGGTTAACTCCAGCCAGTCTCTGTTTACAGTGACACATTGACACCTTACATTGTATCACAGATGGTATAGCAGGGGTTAACTCCAGCCGGTCTCTGTTTACAGTGACACATTGACACCTTACATTGTATCACAGATGGTATAGCAGGGGTTAACTCCAGCTGGTCTCTGTTTATTTTGACACCTTACATTGTATCACAGCATTGACACCTTACATTGTATCACAGGTGGTATAGCAGGGGTTAACTCCAGCCGGTCTCTGTTTACAGTGACATATTGACACCTTACATTGTATCACAGATGGTATAGCAGGGGTTAACTCCAGCCTGTCTCTGTTTACAGTGACACATTGACACCTTACATTGTATCACAGCATTGACACCTTACATTGTATCACAGGTGGTATAGCAGGGGTTAACTCCAGCCGGTCTCTGTTTACAGTGACACATTGACACCTTACATTGTATCACAGATGGTATAGCAGGGGTTAACTCCAGCCGGTCTCTGTTTACAGTGACATATTGACACCTTACATTGTATCACAGATGGTATAGCAGGGGTTAACTCAATGATCTGTTTACAGGTGACGCATTTGACACACCATTTGTATCACGGGTCGGGTATGAGGGGTTAACTCCAGCCGGTCTCTGTTTACAGTGACATACATTGATACGCGCACCCATTGTATCACGGATGGTATAGCAGGGGTTAACTCCAGCTGGTCTCTGTTTATTTTGACACCTTACATTGTATCACAGCATTGACACCTTACATTGTATCACAGGTGGTATAGCAGGGGTTAACTCCAGCCGGTCTCTGTTTACAGTGACATATTGACACCTTACATTGTATCACAGATGGTATAGCAGGGGTTAACTCCAGCCTGTCTCTGTTTACAGTGACACATTGACACCTTACATTGTATCACAGCATTGACACCTTACATTGTATCACAGGTGGTATAGCAGGGGTTAACTCCAGCCGGTCTCTGTTTACAGTGACACATTGACACCTTACATTGTATCACAGATGGTATAGCAGGGGTTAACTCCAGCCGGTCTCTGTTTACAGTGACATATTGACACCTTACATTGTATCACAGATGGTATAGCAGGGGTTAACTCCAGCCAGTCTCTGTTTACAGTGACACATTGACACCTTACATTGTATCACAGATGGTATAGCAGGGGTTAACTCCAGCCAGTCTCTGTTTACAGTGACACATTGACACCTTACATTGTATCACAGATGGTATAGCAGGGGTTAACTCCAGCTGGTCTCTGTTTATTTTGACACCTTACATTGTATCACAGCATTGACACCTTACATTGTATCACAGGTGGTATAGCAGGGGTTAACTCCAGCTGGTCTCTGTTTACAGTGACATATTGACACCTTACATTGTATCACAGATGGTATAGCAGGGGTTAACTCCAGCCTGTCTCTGTTTACAGTGACACATTGACACCTTACATTGTATCACAGCATTGACACCTTACATTGTATCACAGGTGGTATAGCAGGGGTTAACTCCAGCCAGTCTCTGTTTACAGTGACACATTGACACCTTACATTGTATCACAGATGGTATAGCAGGGGTTAACTCCAGCCGGTCTCTTTTTACAGTGACACATTGACACCTTACATTGTATCACAGATGGTATAGCAGGGGTTAACTCCAGCCGGTCTCTGTTTACAGTGACACATTGACACGTTACATTGTATCACAGATGGTATAGCGGGGGTGCTCCAGCTGGTCTCTGTTTATTTTGACACCTTACATTGTATCCTGGCGATGACGCCCATTTGTATCACGGGTGGTATATAGCGGGGTTAACTCAGCCCGGTCTCTGTTTACAGTGACACATTGACACCTTACATTGTATCACAGATGGTATAGCAGGGGTTAACTCCAGCCTGTCTCTGTTTACAGTGACACATTGACACCTTACATTGTATCACAGCATTGACACCTTACATTGTATCACAGGTGGTATAGCAGGGGTTAACTCCAGCCAGTCTCTTTTTACAGTGACACATTGACACCTTACATTGTATCACAGGTGGTATAGCAGGGGTTAACTCCAGCCGGTCTCTGTTTACAGTGACACATTGACACCTTACATTGTATCACAGATGGTATAGCAGGGGTTAACTCCAGCCGGTCTCTGTTTATAGTGACACATTGACACCTTACATTGTATCACAGATGGTATAGCAGGGGTTAACTCCAGCCTGTCTCTGTTTATAGTGACACATTGACACCTTACATTGTATCACAGATGGTATAGCAGGGGTTAACTCCAGCCTGTCTCTGTTTACAGTGACACATTGACACCTTACATTGTATCACAGATGGTATAGCAGGGGTTAACTCCAGCCGGTCTCTGTTTACATTGACACCTTACATTGTATCACAGATGGTATAGCAGGGGTTAACTCCAGCCGGTCTCTGTTTATAGTGACACATTGACACCTTACATTGTATCACAGATGGTATAGCAGGGGTTAACTCCAGCCGGTCTCTGTTTATAGTGACACATTGACACCTTACATTGTATCACAGATGGTATAGCAGGGGTTAACTCCAGCCTGTCTCTGTTTATAGTGACACATTGACACCTTACATTGTATCACAGATGGTA